TACTACTATGAAATGCTTTCTGTTTTACCGGACTTGTATTAAATATATGTACCTAAGAACTTTATTTTTTAATTAGAATACAAATTTAAACTTATTCTACAGGTTTTTTACTTGGCCTGACAAAATGCTGTTGCGCCTGCAACCCAAAGGAATGCGCTCATGTTAAATTTTCTCGAAGTGGCAATTGACGCTCGAGCTAATCTATTTCCTTATTCTTCCCTAACTGTCCATGTCTAGCAGAGGTGTGCTCTATTTAGGCCAAAGTACCTTCAAAGAATCAGGGAAGATGCTACCTGGTAATTATCAAATTGAACCGAAAGTAATTTTCGGCAGAACAAAGCTTAAGTAAAAGCAAAGTTTATTAGATACTTGCGCAAGACTTAACAGATTAGAGCATCTTGGGATTTCCCCGAAAGCATAATATAGGACGCAAATTTTACAGGAGACTATCTTCAATAAAGTTACTTAAGTGATTTTAGAAGAAAACGCAACCTAAGTAGTAAGATAGTATATGTTTACCAGCCTGCTATTTTCTGAGAAAATACAACACTGACTACCCAGGTAAAATTTCACAGCGTCTAGATTATATTTCTTTTGTAATTTTGACATATTGCTGGAGTCATGCATAAGGTGTTAGTTATTTGTTAAAGAAAATCTGAAAGCCCACGAACCTGAGCAATACCAATGACGTTATTGTCGTTGCCTCATACTGAAAAAAATTTTATTAGAACTAATTACTTATCACCTTCATAATTTCATGCGACACGGAATTTTGCACTTATGTCAAAGGGCGAAGCTCAAATTTGTGAACACTGCATTTTTTCCAAATGCTTTTAAATAGTTTCGAGTTTTAAATTCAATATTAGAAATTGAGGCAACTTCTATGTGCATGTTGATCAGAATCAAATTATGAAGGACAGCTTATTACCAGCTTTCCTGACGGCTTCAGCCAAAACTAAAGTCGCCAGCAAGGTAGGACAGCATTAATCCGCCATCATCAAAGCAGAACTACTTTGCATTCACAATGCATGGAACATTTTAAGAATGCTCCACACTCATTAGCCTATGCGATATATTGCCCTTGACCTACCAGGTGACTCTGTATTAAGGCTCCACACGTTACGGCGTGTTGAGTTGCGTGGGCGATTCCACATACAACTCCCACGCTTGTTATCATCAAGGGGCACAGAAACGCAAGTTGATGCAACTTACAAAGCAGACTCAATTTATAAAACATCGGATTGTCTATTCTGCCACTACATTAGCCATTGTAATTAGTGTTACATTTGAAAGATACGCCATCTTGGAAGTGCCCTTTTGTGGTTTGAGAACTCGGAATTACTGGATGAAGGATACGACCGCATTAGAGACACTTGTCACTACATCTAGACATGCTTTATTTTAGTCTGCATAGGT